CGGGGCATGAGCACGGAGGTGACGGCAGGAGGTGGCAGGAGGCGCCCAGGCGACAGGGCAGGGCAGCGTGAGTCATTGAGCTAAAGTCACCTTCTCCCTGGCGTGGAGGGGGCATTTCACTGTGCTGCAAACACAGAGAAATATGGGGACAGGCACCTGGCGTGGGGAGATGCGACATTACCTGCATCCCTCACCTGACTTGGGCAGGATGCTGGGGTGCCCATGGCAAGGGTCCCCCAGCTCTCCCTGCCCCAGGGCCTCACTCTTGGAGGACAGAGCTCACCAGAAGCAGCAGTTTCGTCCCTACATTTGCATTAATTCCATGTCCAGTTTCACCCGCTCCTACTCTGATGGCAGCATGTCTGGCAGGCTGCAGTGTGTGGTCCCCCCCATGCTGGCCCTGCTCCCGGGGGCTTCCCAGCCATAAACCATCCATGTCGCAGCATCCACACTCCTGTACCCCTTTGTGCTGCCAGGGATGGGAATGGACCTTGGTGGGAGCACAAATCATGAGGGTGTCCTTCACCTGACTCCTGGGTGCATCCTGCAGAAGAAAACACTTTTCTTCCCTCTTGGGCCACTGCTGAAACTCCCGCAGTTGCAGACTGACGGCTGAGTTGTGCCATGAGGAAGCTGGAGGTGCAGGAGCAGTCTCAGGGAAGCACTGAGCTGCTGACACAGAGGGGATTGGACTTTTGGTGGTGCCTTTGGCTCAGAGAGCTCAGAGGGATGAAGTGGCCCCAAAGGCTGGGATACTTTGGCTCCTCAAGGTGCAGAGCCCTGACCCGTGTGCCTGTGGTCCAGCTGTGCTTGCCAGAAAAGTCCTTCTAGCACTGCCAGAGACTGCACTTGGTCCCCACAGCATTGCTGAGAGGCAGCAGGGAAGGGCTACCAGATTCTGCTGAAAATTGCAGAGATCTGCACTCCTGGGGGAACCAGAGCCCCTTGGGACACAGGATCAGCCAGTCCTGAGCCATGCAAGAGTCCAAGATTGTGGCAGTGCAAGCCAGGAGCTGCCTGGCTGTGCTGGGACAGGGGGTCCAGCTGTCCCTGCTGCAGGACAGCTTCCCTCAGCTTTGTTTTGCCACCCTAACAAAGTGATGTTGAGCTGGCATGAGCGGGCAGGACAGTGCCTGGCCAGTGGCTGCTGCTGAGCTGGTGGTGCTGCAGGCACCAGGAGAGGCTGTGGGAGCTGTGGGACCAACACTCACAGCACTCTGAGAAGCTGGGGGGGTCACAAGGGCTGGGGAGGCTCAGCCAGGACCTGGTTATAGGGCTCGGCAGGATCCTGCTCCGGGCTCAGGTCAGTGCAGCGGGTTCGGGAGAGAGCAGCTCCCTCCTGACTTCTGGAAAATAAACCCGGCTTTACTGAGGCTCCCTGGGCTCCAGCGCGGCTGTGGCCAGAGGAGACAGGAGGAGACGCTGCGCTCCTGCAGCGCTCGGGAGGAGGGCGATGGGGATCCGTGCTGGGGGCTGCAGCCCGGCCGGGAGCTGCGCTGGGCGGGTGGGCGGCTCCGCGGGGATGGGCTCGGCTGCCGCAGCTGCTGCCATTGGGCTGCGTGGGCTGCAGGGGCTGCGCCGGGATGCAGGCACGCCGGCCGGGATGCCGGAGGGATGCAGGATGCGGGAGGGATGCGGGATGCTGGCACACTGTGCTGGGATGCAGGATGTGGATGCAGGATGCGAGCATGCCCTGCTGGGATGCAGGCAGGATGCAATATGCAGGCACACAGTGCCAGGATGCAGGCATGCTGTGCCAGAATGCGGGAGGGATGCAGGATGCAGGCATGCTGTGCCAGGATGCAGGTGGGATGCGTGCCAGGTCATGAGCACACTGTGTAAGGCCATGCTCCTGCTGAGCCCAGGGCAGCCAGGAGAGAGCCCAGAGAGCTCTCAGTGCCCATCTGGGAATCAGAGCAGCTTGTGATCTGCAGTGTAAAGATGGCATCTCACCGGCCTAAAGAAAGAAGGGATAAATTTAAATCCCAGCCCCAGTTCTGTAGGGAAGTGTCATTGTTGTCTGTGATACTTGGAACTGCTGACAGTGTTGCAGGAGCAGGAGCACTGCTCCCAGGGAGTCATGCTGGGTGCCCCTGCCATGGGAACAGGGACAAGGAGGGTCAGGGGTGCCTGGGGGTGAGCCCTCCTTTCCCTTGGAGCTCCCTCATGCCTGTGCACACAGTCAGTCGTGTGCGGGCTGCAGGAAAAGCCAGAGTGTTTTCCTCCCCTTAGCTTGTCCCTTTGAGAGGGACCCTCAGGGACAGCTTCAGGGTTTTCACAATGTTTCATTTTTCAGGCCCATGTTTCTTCACCATTTCCGGAGATCTCAGGACCCCCAGAAGTTGGAGAGAGCAGCCAAGCTGGGAAGGCAGAGGAACAGGGCTGGGGCGAGATGGTTTTGGGATCAGTGGGTCAGGGTGTGAGCCCCAGCGTCCGAGGCCGGCAGAGCTGCTGTGCCCACACCACTGCCAGTGCCACATTTGGCTCAGATCTGCAACAGGAAGTGCCGTGGTGCGCGTGCCCCAAAAAACTCATTTCTTCCTCTTTTCCTCTTCCCCTGTGGCAGGGGTGAGGCGGCGGCGAGTGGCTCCGGGGAGCCCAGGCTGGCTCCATGTATCCCGAATCCACCACTGACTCCCCAGCGCGACTCTCGCTGCGGCAGACGGGCTCCCCAGGCATGATTTACAGGTAAGGCTGCAGGGCACTGCTGGTGGGACTCTGTAGGGCTTCAAACACAAGCCTGGGGCAACCCAGAACCACCACACTCCCTGAAACTGCTCTGATACTCCTAAACTGTCCTGGCATGCTTTATGCAAAAGCTTCCAGCACAAAATCCTCACACAGCAGCAGCATTTTGGGGTGCTGGTGCCTGTTATGGGCATAGAGGGCACTTTCAGGGTCGTGCCAGTGCCTGCTGCATTGTCCACTGTGCTGTGACATGGGTGGGTGCTGCTGGCCCTTCCCACAGTCACTAACTCTGCCGCTCACTCCTGCTGCTCCTTTCTAACGGGGTTTGTGGCATCTTTCTTCTCTCTCCCCTTTGCTGTCGGAAGCGCGAGGTACGGGAGCCCCAAGCGCCAGCTCCAGTTCTACAGGTAACCAGGCCCTTCCCCCTCCCCAAAATCCCCCCAGCAAGTGGCTGTGGCTCCTGCCCATGCCCAGATAATGCTGGCACAGCACTGCCCTGCCCAGTGTGCCAGGGTCCCTGTGTGTGGGATGGGCATCACATGTGTGGCATTGCTTGTGGGTTCAGAAGTGCAGTGTTGGGACCCTGGGGTGTGGCTGGGTGGGGGGACTGTTCTCACAGGCAGAGTGTGGCCACATGGCTGTGGGGGACAGCCACTGTGGGGTGTGGGGCTCAGCTCAGCTTGGGGGGAGCGTCCCATGCCAGTGCTGTGCCTGGAGAAGCCCTCAGCTTTTCCCAGGAGCAGCTCTGGGAAAGCAGCCAGCTGGTCCGTGGCTCCTGCTATTAGGAGCAGTCTCATTAAGTGGTTCGGGAGGCAACATTCGCCCCCATCACCCTTTTACTGTCTGAAGTGAGGGCGGCACTTCCCCACACGCTCTGCCAGCTGCTGCTCCAGCTCTCCCAGGGCCACAGCAGCCCAGTGGTGTGGGACTGGGTCTGGCCTGGCTGCTGTGGGGTGGGGGACTGGGGGCTTCCCCTTGACAAAACTGTAGCCCCCTACTCCATCTCACACATGATGGGAGGAGGTGAGACGGGCTGGCAGAGGGATGGCTCAGTGGCACTGACAGTGTCTGTCCCAGTGCTGCCACCAGCACTGCTGAGCCCCAGCAATGGGCAAGTTTTGGCTGCCAAACTGGTCTGAACCTCTGGACACATCTGGTGCAAAAGGCTCCCAAGGCCAACAGGCAGGAGCCACCTGTGTTGGTCACCCGGTTCCATTTCAGGGCTCCCTCCTGCTGGAGCCTGCTTTCAGTCCTACCACAGCCCAGCTCTGTCTCCACTGCCACGGGGACCACAGGAGGGCTGTGCCTGCCTCAGGGCACCGTCTCCACTCCCTGATGTCCCCAGTGTCCAGCCGTCCCCACCGCCCTGTGTGCTGGTGACAGGGGACCTGTCACTGCAGGGCGAGGGGCAGGCGGTGCCAGCGTTGATAAAGCAGCGGCACATCCCCGGGCTTTTAGTGAAGCGCCATGAATAATTTAACTCCCCTTCGCAAGGAAGAAAATCCCCTAATAGGGCTAATGGAGCGCGGCGAGAAGCCGGACGCTGGGGGCCCGGCGCAGCCGCCAAGTGCTTTGGACGCCAAGCTCCGACACTCCCCTAATGCAAAACAACGCGGCCACCGCCGCTCTTATATCTGCCCTGGGGCTGCCCGGCTGCCCAGAGCTGCGCTGCTGCTGCTGCTGCTGCTGAGCAGCTTCCCCGGCGCGGTGAGTCGGGGCTGGGCACAGTGGGCGATGGGCAGGGATGGGCATCGCCCCGGGGCAAGTGCTGCGGGCAGCAAGGGAGATTTTCCATGCGGGGTGACTCGGGATTTGATGGCTTAAGGTGGTTTTCTTTTGGAGTTTGGGGTCTTCCTGGCTTTAGGCAGGCTGGTGGGGGCCAGTTTCCCAGCTTGGCAAGCTAGGCTGGGCAGATATCTCTCCAGGCAGCCGCCCTGCCTGTCGCCCACTTGTTGTGCCCCTGGTGCTGCTAATGGTGCTGTTATCCCGTAGAGCCTGTGCTCTGTTCCCCATCCCTGCTCCTTCCTCGCAAAGCAGCCTCTCCTGCTTGGGCATGGCACAGCTTATCCTACTGCTACTCATCCCAGGAGCACTGGGATTTCTGCTATCAAATGGCCATGAATGCACCCATCACCTCCATACTCACTCTGGTTCTGTTCTGCTGAAAATCAGGGAAGTATCGAGATACGGCAGCCGGTGGATTCCCACCCCATTCCTCAGAGCAGCCCAGATCAAACCCCCAGCTCTGCTTGCTGCAGCCATTTGGCTGCTGTAGAGCAGCGGTGCAGCCAGCTCAGGTTTCTCCTTGCTGCTCTCAGGTGTGGGGATCCTACCAGGGCAAGGAGATCCCACTGGGAGCAAGGAGATTCCACCAGGTGCCCATACCCAGCAGGAGCCACTGGCATTGCCCTGATTAAAGCTACCAGCCACGGAGAAGGGCTGGTGCTGGAGGTACTGGGTGCTGTCTCCAGCTTTGAGGTGTGGCAGGAAGAGGCCGATGACCAGGATTCGGTTTGGCTTTGCCACAACAGAGGGAAACGTTTCCTTTCCGTGTCTCCTGGTTTTCCCAAAGTCTTGCTGTGGAGCACGAGGAGCACAGAGTGGTCTCTGGCAGCACTGGAGGACCCTCAGAGTTTTGGTCATACCTGGCCAGCTGCTACTCCATATCCTCTGGGCTTCTTTCTCCTTTCTTCTGGAGGTCACACCTCAATGGCAGACAGCCCTTCACTTTTGGCTCCTGCAGCTGTCAATTTGAGCTTCACAGGGAAAGAAAAAACCACCAGTGGGAGCCTGGCTGGAGCCTGATGCCGGTGTAGATGTGTCACAGTGCATCCCCAGCGGCCACTCTGGCACCAACACCACAATTTTGGCCCCAGTCTCTGCTCCCTGCAGACACTGAAAACGAGAGAAGTTGCAGAGAGAGGCACAGAAATCGAGCGGGTGCTGCCCAAGGTCCCAGGCACAGAGACAGCCAGGGCTGGGCTGTGTGAGAGCCCACCCTGCAGCAGGCTATTTTCAGCAGCCGCACCGGCTGGGAGGTCGCTGCCGTGGCGGTGGGGAAGGTGTTGGCTGGTGGTGGCGCACATTGCGGCAGTGTGACGCAGGCACAGCGAGCACCCGGTGCCCACAGACCCTCTGCCATGTCCACCCTTTCAGGGAGCCCCACAGGGACCCCTTTCCCATCCCAATTTCCTTGCCCAATGGCACACAGTGCCAGATTCTTACCAGCAGTACTTGTGCCGCTGCTCGCCGTGCCTTGGCCAGCTCCTGGGACACACAGGGATGCAAACCAGTGCAGCCCAGCACAAGCTGGGAGCCAGCACAGCTGGGCACAGGCCACGCTGCTGCATCGTGGCTTGGGGCAGCTGTGGTGGGCACCACTGCAGCCTCAGACATGGACTGTGCCAGATCCCTGTCCTGCTGCTTCTCGTGCTGTGCTTCAGCTCTCACGCCAAGGCTTTGCTCCGCTGAAGACTGGCTTTGCTAGGGTCCCCACATGTGGGTGCCAGCACTGTGCCATGGCAATGCGGGCAGGGCCGTGCGCTGAGCGGCGAGGGAGCCCATGTTGTGCTTTCCCAGCTCTCTCCATAGCAGCACAGAGTGTTTGGCGGCGTGGCTGGCCGGCAGAGCCGCCGCTCGGGTGGCAGGATGCTCTCCATGACCTACAGTGAGAGCCTGCGCAGCGTGGCCAGCCGGCCCAGCCCCGAGTGGGGGCTGCCCCCAGCCCCCCGGGCGGCCGACGGGCTGGAGCTGCGGCGGCTGCGGGATGTGCGGGCGGCGGCGCGGGCGAAGACTCTGGAGGAGTTCCTGCGGATGCACGGGCTCTCCCTGGCCGACACCACCGCCCGCGCCACCGGCATGAAGTACAGGTAAGGCAGCGCCGCGAGGGCGGCCAGGCCCGAGGCGAGGGGATGATGACACAGGGGACGCTGCTCGGTGCTGGTTTGACACCTCGGCAGGAGAACGGCTCTCACCTGAGCTCACCTCGGCTCCCCTGTGCCGCGCCGAGGCTGGGAGGAGCCGCTGCCCTTGGAGAGGCGGCAGCCGATCAGCGCCGTTAGCACTTTCTTGCTTGGTGATCTTTGAGCTTCTCGCTTGACATTCCTGTTTGCTGTTTGGGCATTTGCAGACGCAAACACCCTCTGAGCTTTAAACATTAGACACTAGAGCAAACAGCCTCCGAAGAGCTGTTTCTGCCTCAGAGGTGTAAATCTCCATCTGATGCAGGTGTACCTCTGCCTGAATGGAGGGGTACATCTTCACCTGACAGGGGTTCTTCTCCACCTGGGAGGTGTAAATCTCCATCAGACGGGCATACATCTCTGCCTGATGGGTTTGCTCTCCTCACTGATGGGTGTGCATCACACAGTGGGTGCATCATTAATTTTGCATGTGGGTCTTGGTGAAAGGTGTATCAGGATTTCAGCCAATGTCCTTGTCAGGAGGACACTCCAGGCAGCTGGAGAGTTGGCCACAGCCCCTGAGAAGGATGGGACAGCTGTGCCCAGCGCATCCCTTCCCTTGCATTGCAGGTGGGGCAATGGGGTGCAGGGCCCAGCACTGCCAGGTCAGGCTTTGGGGGACACCAGGGCTGAGGACAGTGGCTGTTCTCCAGTGACAATACAGGGGTGTCTCTTGGCCCCCACTGCAGTGAAGCCCCAGGAGCTGGCAGCTCTGCTGGCTCCTCACTGTGCCGTGATGCACCGCGGGTCAGGTTCCCCTCTGCTCGCAATGACCGCGGTAACATTTACACAGTGGCAAGAGCCCATCTAATATTAATGGGGACATTATTTATTGATGGGAGCAGCTGGCACAGGCACCCCAAAGGTGCTCCTTCTTTGGGCATGTCCCTGCTGCCACCAGAATTTGTGGGGTTTCTCCTCCTCTGGGGGCTGGCACATGCTGCCAGGTCCCCCCCGCGCTGGAGCCGGCGCTGGCACTGGTGCCGGCAGGATTACCAGCTAAGGAGCTTTGTGAGAGAGGGAAGTGGAGGAGATTACAAGATTTTTCATTAGGTTTGGGGAAAATGTGCATAATTTCCTGCAAGCCTCGTGGCTGCATTTTGCTCCATCCTGAAGGGCACGGCAGGTGCTGGCAGCCAGCACGTGGCTGATGCTGTAGTGGGCTGACTTGTGTCCTTGCTTCGGCAGGAGGTGCTAGGCTGGAATTCGCCTCACTTCGACTTCGCTTGCACTGGGAAAAACAGGGGGAATGTACTGCTGGGGGACAACTTGGGCAAGCAGCTTGGCTCTGCGGCGGGAGAGCCATCAGCATCGTCGCCACCGCGGGGATGGCGATGAGCACGCCTTGCTGCCAGAGGGTTTAATTTCGGACCCGTGCAGGGGAATCTGTGCTCCAAAGCGGAGCTGTGCCAGCGGGGGGATGCCCAGCGGGGCGCAGGGGAATCCTGCTCTGCCGCGGGAGAGCCATCAGCATCGTTAGCACCGGGGGTTTGGCGATGCGCACGCCTTGCTGCCAGAGGATTTAGTTTCGGACCCGTGCAGGGGAATCTGTGCCCCAAAGCG